TGATCACCTATACTCGATCAATTATCATCAATTATAACATAAATCTTGCTAATTACTTCTCTTACTCTCCCTCTTTTAATATCAATTACGATTCTCCCCACCTCTCCCATTTTAAATAACAATATGGAAGTCCCTTTCGCAATATATTATCACATTTGTGATATTTAATTATCTGATAATACTTGTTCAAAGACTTACTTTAAAGGTGACACGCTATCCTCGACCATAGTTGATCCTTCGTCTCCTTCGATACCGAAATGATCTTTACCCTTTTGCTTTTTCAATATAATATCTATATAACCGGCTATCAATTGTAAAATTTGTTCTGCCTCGGTAGTTTGTACGCTGTAATATTGATCGGAATAATCGCCAAAATCAAGGGTAAATGTGTTAGGGGATGCTCCCCAACGTCGGACGGTTGTCAATGGCCACGTTTTTAATATCTCTTTGGTCTTCTCGTCCAATCGTAATACCGAATCCTTCGTTACCCCGAGCAATCTTGGTACCAATTTATTTTTACCCTTCATCTTTTCCTTTACCAAAAAAAACGTGACACCGTATGTACTCAATGATCTGGCAGTTTTCGTGTATAAAACTTTGGCATCGAGTTCGGACAGGCCAACGTGTTTCTTGTGCTCGGCAAATACCTTCTTCTCGATACCCTTCACTTTCACGTAAGACTGCGGTAAGAATTCTTTCAGGCTGTTTACGAACGAATAAATAATATGATAAAAATTCTGTTATTTTTTTTTTCTGTTTTAGTTTTGTTTTTTTTTTTTTTTCTCTTCAAATCACGATTTAAAAATCATTATACATAAATCTACAAGGGTGAATAGTAAAATGAGAGGGGAAACGTACTCCAAAAAACCTGTTTTGTGTTTGTCCTCCTTATGATCGCCAAATTGTATTTGACATTGTATACCAGCGAATATGCATGCTTTCTCTTGTGTAACCGGATGTGTACCATCCAATATTGCATCCCTCGCTTGTACGTACAAAAGTGACAATTGCACTGGATCACGACTGTCGATGTTCTGATCGGAGAAGAAAAATTTTCTTCTTAACAATACGGTTTCCGATTCGTCGATACCTTGCTCCCGTAATGTTTTACTTGGATCTATCCAATTAACTAGAAAATATCAACAATGAGAATGAATTAAGAAATGTTTATTTTTTTTATCTTCTACTTTTTTGTTCCTTCTTTCTTTTTTCTTTTTCTTTTTGGTTTTGGTTTTAAAGTAAAACCAAAGAAAATTAATGATATTTAAATTACCTTCGTCGTCGGTCTTTAGTTTTTTCCTCAATTGATCCATCTTAGCATCTCTCTCACCCTTGTCCTCCTTTCTCCTTTTCAACGTTAATGTACCAAAGTTACCGGGTTTTTGATTTTCCGTTTCTTCATCTACGAGCTCGCGTACAAGGGAATATTCGTCGTGATTTGTTATACCAATTTTCGTGCATATAACTACCATAAGATTGGCGACAGGTTGACTGTCATCTACCAATAATGTTTTCAATGTACCATCCAACATTCTTACTCTAAGTGTACGTAATTTACGACGATATTCCAAAAGATCGCCATTTCTTAAGATATAATAATCAAGATTTCTGACTGGTTCAAGCCAAACGCCTTTCTTTACGTCTTCGTCGGCAAAGAAAAGTCCATAATCCTTGGCTAAATATATATATAAAAAAAAAAAACAAAAAAAAAAAAAAATAAAAAAAAAAAAACAAAAAAAAATGAGTAAGTATAAGTGAAAACAATCGATGATGATTAATTTGTCTTCCCATTGACGATAAATAGAAAAGAAATTAATGATGAGTTGGAAGGGTGGAGGGAGGGATTGTAGAGAGAAAATGAGAGAGAGAAAAGAAAGTCAAGAAAAATGAAATAAATAAGACTTACGTTGTCCCATATTACTGGCCTCCGCTAATTTTTCTCTTATTATACGGCAAGCATCGTAAACCGACGTACTCGGATCAAACTGCATCATTTTCGTTGCATTTTTCTCCGGAATGGAGATCCGTAATGATAATGTGGCCATTGCGACTATATCCAACAAGGATGTAATCTACCTGGTTAAAAGGAAATACTTTTTAGAGTTATATTTATTTTTTAAGTAAACGCGTTACGATTAACCTAACGAATTTAAGTAAGTAAGTAAGTAAGTAAGTAAGTAAGTAAGTAAGTAAGTAAGTTAGTATATAAGTAAGTAAGTAAGTAAGTAAGTAAGTAAATAAGAAAGTAGAACAATGACACTGAGGTAGACAGAAGATTAGAAACCCTTATCTGTTTGTTCGTTTTTCTTTTTTCTTTTTTTTTCTTCTTTTTTTTTTTTTTTTTCTTTTTTGTCATTTTAATATAAAACGTTCAACTTACAACACTAAAAAAAATCAGAACACAAAAGTATTTATAAAATGTTTCACAGAATTTACTTAATATAATTTCACAGACTTTATTTTAAATAACTATTATAAATTTTATATAATTTAAAATAAATATATATATATATATATTTTATAAAATAAATTTTATAAAATAAAAATTCTGTAAAATATTAATAAGAAATGGACGAAAGGAAATGTACGATTAAATTTGATATCGTTAATTCGTTCGACACGAACTACCAAGTAGAAATATTAAAACTCTAATGATCTTTATGTCACGTAAGACACGCAACATGTTTTACAATTAAAACTGATAGAGAAAAAGAGAGAAAGAACGACAAAGAGAGAAAGAGATACAGAAAGAGACAGAGAGAGAGAAAGAGAGACTAAAGAGAGGCCTGCATATGAAATGAAAGAGACGTGCGATATGTTGTACCGTGTGGGTAATAAACACTTTCACGCATCGTCTGGTTTGCATGCGAACGAACGAGCGGGAATAACAGGAAAGGGAGCGGACGTGCATCATATTTTAGGTGTTATTTAAACGAGATAGTGAGTTAACTCTACTTCGTAAACAAACGATCTAAAAATGGTCCAAGCGATATTTAAAATGTTTAAGAAAAAAAAAAAAAAAAAATAAAAAAAGAAAAGAAAAATAAAAGAAAGAAAAATATATAAATGAGTCAACTCACTCGTTCCTTTTTTTTTCTTCTTCTTCTTCTTCTTTATTTCGTTCCTTCCTTTTAACGTAATTAATTGCTATTTATTCGTTATTCGTTGATTATATTGAAACAACATCGACTTTTTCAATTTTAACGTGACCCTTCTCTTTCTCTCCTTTCTCTCTGAAATCTGTAAAATATAAAATGAAAGAAAATTATGAATTACGATTTTTCTCATATTCGTTCGAATATTTTCTTTTTCTTTTTTTTTCTTCTTTTCTTTTTTTTTTTTTTTTCGATGAACATGACAACACTAATTTGTCTTTATAAAACTCCCTCGGTAATCTTAGAATAGAATAAAAGTAAGCATTTTTCTTTTCTTCTTTTCGTTACGACATCGATCATTTTTATTCATTATTTTAATAAAACAATATAAATATGATCGACAAATTAATTGTCTTCTTCTTCTTCTTTTTGTTTGTTCTCCCGAGATGTCGAAAATTCAGGCGTAAGAATATTGGGGAAAAAAGAAAAAAGAAAAAAGAAAAAAGAAAAAAGAAAAAAGAAATTGAAAGTGAGAGAGCGAGAGAGAGAGAGAGAGAAAATTTTTGCAAAACATTAACTTTCTTCTTCGTTCCATTAATGGAAAATGAAATTTTTTGTTTTAACATATAAAAGCTTTGTTCTTTCTTAAATAACGTAGAATAAATAGAATGATCTTCGAGAAGGGAGAGAAAAGAAAGAAATAAATTAGATAAAGACAAGGACGTTATGAAATAAGTAACTACATTATTATATATATATATATATATATATATATATATATATATATATATACACATATACACACAAAGCTATATCGACATCGCACGGGCGCCGATAATGGCGTCGTGACGACTTGTTGGCGCCTTTTCCGGACGCTTCACTGACGACGGCCTAGATAATAGATCATCCACAAATTTTACATGCTCGATCGACATGAATTTTTCTCATATCATTTAGAAATAATATTCGTTGAAAAAAATATAGAAAAAAAAAAAAAGAAGAAAACTCCTCCCCCCCGTCTAAAAACATCAAATATCATAATGCAATAAAAGAAACAATGAGAAAACAAAATGTACATTTCATTTAATTTAGGGAGAAAAAAAAATGAATAAATAAATAAATAAATAAATAAAAAAAAGAACGAAAGTCTCTCCGCGTGTTTATATTATCGCCATATTTGTTTCGAAAGAGACGCACTCAGAGTTTTTCGAACCGTGTACGTACGTTTGTAGACACAAATACACATATACACACATACACACATAAACAAGCGAATTGAAAGCAGAAAAGAATGCTGATTTTCAAGAGACACGAATGCACTACTATATAGGGTGATTCAAAACAATCGTAACAAGCATTACTTATTTTTTTTTTTTTTTTTTTTTTTTTTTTTTAATTGATATCTAGTTAGAAACAATGAATGTTAGAGAGGAAAAAAAGATGAATGGTTTTCAGCTAGACTATATTATTCACCATCATATTTTTTTTATTTTTTGCAAGTGCGCGTAAGAAATATCACGATCGTAAATATACACATCGAAAAAAAAATCGTAAAGATTCACATCGAACTTTTTACCATCCATCCATCCATCCTCTTTAATCGTAACATTTCTTTTCTAGTTTCGTTGCAAAAAAAGAAAAAAAAAAAAGAAAATATCGCTTATTGCGGTTGCATGAATCATCATCGAGCGGTCATTTCAAAATACCTCGCTGATTAATTATTTTTCGACGTATGCAAAAAAAAAAAAAGAAAAGAAAAAGGAAAAGAAGAAGGAAAAGATATCCATGAGAAAATGAAAATGGAAAAGAAAAATATATTTATGATGCAATTGAAAAATGAACGAGTGCATTATTGCAGCCGCGAAAGAAACAATATATATATATATATATACATATGCATATATAATTGCAAGAGTAGAACCACCACCATTCATATATTTTTTCTAACTAATTCGCAAAGAGAAAAGGAAGAAAAAGAAAAAGAGGGAGAGAGAGAGAGGAAAATAAAAAAGGAAAAAGGAAGATAGGTAAGGCTTATTTTATGGTTGTTTGAAACAACTTGTATTTTACACGAACATAATATGCACCCGGGGGAGGACGACACTCGACATTTACCAGATAGAAAACAGTGTGCTCTTTAAAGGGTATGTATATAGTTTAACCTCTTAAGTGGACCCGATGTACATGCTCGTGAAGCAGAGCACGCTTTTGCCGAGTAAGTATGATGAATATATCCGCCATCAAGCATAAACTACCATAGTAGCCATTGGCTACCTCTCTGGTCGTTGCAATCACGAAAGACTGTGCATAATCTCGGGGAGTGTTAAAAAAACAAAAAAAAAAAAAAAAAAAAAAAGAAAAAAAATAGAAAAATATAAAAAAATATCTCCAAAGTTTTTCCAAGCGTATATTTTTGTTCGTTCTTCTTTTTTCTTTTTTTCTTTTTTTTATCGCTTGTTAAAAATTTATGTGTCACGTTAAAAGAAATAATATATTCAGAATGATATACATCGATTTTTTTTATTTCTTTTTTTATTAATACGAATTGCTTCACTCTTCGCGTTAGGTTATCTTCGAAACGTAAAAGAAAAAAAAAAAGGGGGGGAAAAAAAGAAAAAAAAAAAAAAGAAAAAAAAAATTGATAATACTGCTATTTTTAATTGCAATTACTATTAGCAATTAACAATGACGAATCATTTTTCTGGAGATCCATTTTTTTCTTTTTATTATATATATATATATATATATATATATATATATATACAGTATCATTAAATTATGGCTTTCATCGGTCACATTAAATATTCTTAATTTCTGAAACCTTGACTTTATGTTTTTTTTTTCTTTTTTTTTTTTTTTTGTAATAACGTTATAGGTAAAAGAAGAAAGTCGTCAATACAACGTTATTGCGCATTACTATACGATCTTCATTAATAGAAACGATAAAGTATCTCGAGTTCGATGTAATTTTTTCTATTTGTATGTTTTGTCGTCGATATGCGAGGTTCAAAGATCGACATATATGGATGACCATAATAAATAAGAAACGACATAAATATAAATAGCATGAATCTATTTAACTGATTGATTATCAAAGGGGTTTAAGAACAAAATATCCTATTATATTTGATCAATGAGTAATGACGAAATTTTCATTTTAAAATATTTCGTATCTAAATAAATGACATTGAATATTAAGTAATAATTCATTGAACAATTTTTCTTCATAATTACTTATTATTATCCATGCCAATATTATTCAATGATATTATATATTTCATTGTTATTTATTTATATATAAATTATTGCAAATTTCAAACCAATGTATTATATTATTCCTTAATATAGTACATTATTGTTTATTTACAAATAAAATATTGCAAATTCCGACATTACATATACATATACATATACATATACATATATATATATATATATATATATATATATTTATCAAGCCAATACAACATTATTCTATAATAATATACTAGTATATTGTACTAATATAATTTTAATATAACTAATATAACATTGTAATAATATAATAATACATAGAATTTTTATCAAAACCAATATTATACTAAATTATTCTACATTATAACACAGTGATATTTATTTACATATAAAATATACCAAATTCCAACATTATTTATCTACCAATTCAATAATACATTAGTAGATGAAATTGTATACTATAACATGGTATTGTTTATTTGTATATAAAATACTATAAAATATTTGCTCTAAAGTGTTCCTTTATTTCTATTTTAATTTTTCGTTTTTTGCGTTCTATTTGTCTTTTATTTCTTTTCTCTCTCTCTCTCTCTCTCTCTCTCTCTCTCTCTTTTTTTTCCCGCAACAAGACTAAACACAGAAGCGTGATTTTAATTTGATGAGACAATCGTTAAGATAAATATGTTAACGAATTATGGTCTATTCGATGCACGAAAGAATTTTTCTCTCTCAAAAGTCTCGTAGTCGTCGTTGTAATCGCAGTTTAATCTCATTCCGTCCTCGGAATGTAAACGTAGCGTATCTCGAGAATAAATCTTTCGTCTGCGATGATATCAGATCGCACGATTATGCATCATAGTTGGCAGTGAGCTCAAAAGCTTTTAAGAACCACATTCAAACTACTACTCTTTCTAGCTACGTTATAACTTTCGCAGAAAGCTCACGCAGCAAACATTTAAATTATAATAAGTGTACGCCCGTGTGGATCTAATTACACGTTTCTATGCTTGTGTATAAGCAAACCCATACATATGTGGGTGGATTGTGTACTACATACATACATACATACATACATATATACATACATACATACATACATATATCATACATACATACATGTATACATCATACATACATAAATACATACATGTATACATCATACATACATACATGTATACATCATATATATATACATACATACATATGTACGTACGTACGTACATGCGATAAAACGTAGGATGCTCGTTCACTCGTTCACTCTCACGTATGCAATGCTCTTATTACCATTTTCTTTTTAAAACATATGATATATGTATATGTATAAGTGATCTACACTTAAATAGAGATACGTATTATATATACACGACTATATTATAGCTTTCTATTTATAAGACTTAGACCGGAACTTAGACTTTACGTCGTCTGTACGAAACTCTACAAATTTATGCAATAATGTTGTCACCTTCTTTTATCTTTCCGTTATTTCACGAAGTTTGGAAAGTATACTTTGGAGAGAAAAAAAAATAGAGACAGAGAGAGAGAGAGAGAGAGAGAGAGAGAGAGAGAGAGAGAGAGAGAGAGAGAGAGAGAGAGAGAGAGAGAGAGAGAGAGAGAGAGAGAGAGAGTGAGAGGGGGGAGAGAAGAAGGGAGAAAGAAAAAAAAGAAGCACAATTGACACATGCTAAAGAATTTTATGAAAACTAAAGCATATGTGAATTAAATTATACCTGTCTTATTATATACGACTAAATATTTTCTACTACGTATTACTTTATCCCTCAATCTATATATTTATTTTCTATTAAACACAATGCATTAGACTTGATAAAATAAAGAAAAATGATATGAGATATTTATCACTATTGAAATAATATTAGAAAGTTCTTTAATAGAACCAATAGTCTTATCGTTTTAATACTATCTTTATTATTTGATTGATATATGTATGCATTTTTTTACATAGACATCCTTTTTATAGCTTATAACTAGATTCTTTATCTGATCATGTAATGTTTGATCTTACATATTTGTTACTTTAAATAGAAAAGAATTATACAAAAAAAAAATACTGAGATTCTAATACTGACAATGAATTATATTCAATAATAAGAGGAGAAATTCAATATTTAAAATTTTTTCAATATATAAAAAGATTCTAATAATGTACTCAATATTTAAAAATCTTAATCAGAATCTTAACTTCCTACCTTATTTGCTATATCCAATATCCACTCACATATACTCATATATATATATATATATATATACTCAAAGATAAAACTTATATATATACTCAAAGATAAAACTTATATATACATATATATAAAAGGTGAAGAAAAAAAGGAAACTTCCAAGGAAAAATATGCAACTCACATAAGCACAACAAATCACGTTAACATTCGATTCTCAGAATCAAATAGTTCGTTCACTGTCATTCGTCAATATCACGTAAAGAAGAAGAAGAAGAAGAAGAAGAAGAAAGAAAGAAAAAAAAACCGTCAGAGAACAAAAATAAACATTTTATAATCGGATGGCGCGATCCAACGAAGCGTAACAACTCAACGTGGACTTGAAAAGACGAAGACGAAGACGAAAACGAAGAAGAAGAAAAAGAAGAAATAGAAGAAGAAGAAGAGGAGCTGTCAATTCACCACGGTTCTGTTGTGAATCATGTCTATTTCGGGAAACACCCGTTGGATGTCCCTACACTCTCGCGCAACATATATACATGCATATATATATATATATATATATATATATATATATCCATTGCTTCATAATTTTGAGGTTAACTGCGATACGTACGAGTTAAAGGAGAACTTGGAAATTAAAAACAAAAAACAAAATTTAATCTTACGAAAAGATATCACGAATTATTTAAACGTCGAACAGAATTCAATCGTATTTCTTTTTTTTTTTCTTCTTCTTCTTCGTTCGTGGATGCGATTAAACGAAACACTGAAACACGGGAACGTGAAACTCGCGTAAAAAGGTAGTACGCCCATTTCTTGAAATTTCTCAAAGTTAAAAAAAAAAAAAAAAAAAGAGAAAATACGATCGACAAAGAGAATCGATTTTTTTTTGGATTTATAGAAAAGGAAAGAAAGAAAGGAAAAAAAAAAGAAAATCAAAGAAAAAAATGTAAGAAATAAAAATAATCAAAATAGACGTTGATATTATCGTATTGGTAGGAACGTGCGTTGTACTGTACGGTTTACTCACTTTTAACGAGATCCACGATACACGAGAAAGGATAGCCCCTCTTATTTTCTTGTAGATATTTAATTCGCCAACTCTTGACCACCAACAGACACGTCCGACGACAACACTGTCGCGACTCAGCCGTTCCGGTTTCGATCGTTCCCTGGCCTTCTGGCGTGTCAGGATCGTAACGAGCGTTAAGTTTTTAAGGGTATCATTAGAACCCCTCTTCTTCCCGTAATACTTACCATTTATATTAAATTGTAGCCTTACTTTCTTTTTTTCTTTTCTCTTGTTTTTCGTCATTTACATTTCTTTCTCTTTTTGTTTTTTCTTTTATATCTCCTCATTTCCCTCAAGCCAAATCAATTTCGATAAAGCCAAACGTAATACGTTTGAAATGTTTTTACAAAATGATTGATATTACAGATAGAAAAATATTGACATCGAGAATTATTAAAAGCAGCAAACGCATTGAAAATTAACGTCAATGCGTCAGTCTCGTGACTCACTCGTTATTCAAAGAAAAATTGTATACATACATATATATATATATATATATTTTTTTTTTATATATATTCTTTTTATATATATTCTTTTGATATTCAATTGTTTCTATTTTCTCTTCTTTCTTTTTTCGAATTATACTCAGTGTTTCAAAATCATAACTACAAAACGAAATCAAAAGGTTTCATCTAATCGATGATAAGTTATTTGTTGGATGAAGAGAGAACAAAAAAAAAAAAAAAAAAAAAATTCCCGTAGGTATTGTAATATCGTCATACCTCACTGTGAACGTACAAATAGCTAATTCAAATAAACAATTTTCGTCTGGAACCACGGAGTAAAGAGAATATAGCAATTAAACGAGCGCGCACGCGCACGCATACTTTGGTAATATCGTTTGAAATAACAACGTGAAAACTAATGATCGATTTTACACGATACGTACGTATGTAGAAAAAGGAAAAAAGAAAAGGGAAAAAAGGAAAAAAGAAAAAGCAAAAATCTATAACAGGGAACAATGGAGAATAATTCATTGTAAAAGTCTCATGATGTCGATTTTTTTTTCTTTCCTTTTTTTTCCTTTTTCATTTTTTTTTCTTCTCTTTCTTTTTTTTTTTTCTTTTTTTACGAGGCTTAATAAAAGGATCGCGAAGAGATCGAAGAGGGATCGAAAGAGGAAAAAAGATGTTTGCGCGGGAGACCGAAAGAAAGAAAGTAAAATATTCGATGCTCTTTTAAAACGAATGGCGCACGATCGAGACCGCGCCAAATTTGGTCATGGCGGCTTTCATATAAACAGAGAGATAGATAGATAGATAGAGAGAGAGAGAGAGAGATAGATAGAGATAGAGAGAGAGAGAGAGAGAGATAAAGAGATACAACATATACATACATAGGTGGTTTCCGTCGTAGCTCGCAATGATGCAACGAAAGTAAGTAACCTGTTTTTCTTTATCTCGTCCTTCAACATATATATATATATATTTTTTTTTTTTCTAATATATTTTTTCTTTCTTCTTTCTTTCTTTCTTTCCTTTTTTCTTTTTTTCTTTTTTTCTTTTTCGTCTCTGAACGATTACACGTATGTAACACTAGGTTATAGTTTTTGAAGAACTTTCAACTTCTTTTTCATTTTTTTCTTCTTTTTTTGCTCACTTCAAAACTTTTCTTTTCTATCGTCCAAAGATTTAAATTCTCATAAATTTATGCGATATATATATATATATATATATATATATATATGCATGTGTGTTTGTGTATACATATATATACATATATATATATATATATGTTATTGGTTCATGTATGTAAATTTTTTTTGTATTCTATTTCTTGCTTTCTTTCTTCCTTTTCTTTATTTATTTATTGTTATTATTATTATTATTATTTTTTTTTATTTAATTAGAGCCTACATATGTATACATATATATACATATATATATATATATATATATATATATATATGTTATTGGTTCATGATGTAAATTTTTTTTGTATTCTATTTCTTGCTTTCTTTCTTCCTTTTCTTTATTTATTTATTGTTATTATTATTATTATTATTTTTTTTTATTTAATTAGAGCCTACATATTTTTTATTATAACAGTGACGTATCTAACGTAAAAAAAAAAAAAAAAAAAATACTTCTCTGAAATAATTTCTTCTTCTTTCTTTTCTTTTCTTTTCTTTTCTTTTCTTTTTTTTTTCATTCCAAGCTTGCAATAAAAATCGATTTACAGAGTTAACAAAAAAAAGAAAAAAAGAAAAAAAGAAAGGAGAAAAAGAAAATACAAAAGTTCAAAAATATATCTCTATGGTATATAAATCTTGTACCATATGGATTTAAGCTTTCTCAAATATTTTACCGTTCGAGAGTTAATAAATTTGTTAACAATGATGTCATCGTGCTAATCGAATAAATTCATACGAAATTGGTAACGTGACCATAATCATTATAATATTTTATTTCGTTCGTTTTTTCGTTTATTTTACTTATCTCGATGTATCATTATTTCAAGTAAAAAATATAGTCGTATTTAATTATTTAAAAGATCTCGCGACGTTCGTCGAGTTTTCTTCTCTTTTTTTTTTTTTTTTTTTTTCTTTTTACTTTATCAAACGAGAAATTCTTCTTTATCAAAAAATCCACCTTTTAAAATTAATCAACAATATGTTCTTTGACGTAAGACATTTCGTGGCAGATTAATTATTGATAATTTTTAATTATTGGACCGACCAATCTATACATTGAGAAACGCTGATATATATATATATATATATATATACATATATATATGTATGTATATATGTATTTTGTTTATGTGTTTAGGACGATGAAAAGTGTGACGAGCAGAGGACGCGTTTTGTATTTGATTTTATGGGACTCAATCAAGATGCGAAAGACACGATAACGGCACGTTCGGCTTTTCCGGTGATTATTCGTACCTCGAGGATGTACGCGGTCGCATTTTGTACTTCCTGTGGATAAATTATGACGAGGAAGTTGGTTAAATAATAATCATTTACGATCGTTTTGAAATTTTCTATTTTTTTTCTTTTTTTCTCTTTTTTGTTTTTTTTTTTTTTTTTATTTATTTTATTTTGTTTTCTTTTCTTCATTTTTTGTTCTCCCTTTAATATACGACTCGTCGATTCGTTTCTTTTTTCTTTTTTTTTTTTTCAATTTTTACTTCTTTTTCTTGATTTTGATTTCGATTTTGGTCTTGATTTATCTCGAATTAATACTCACGCACGATGAATCTTTGGTGAACGTTCATGATATATATATATATATATATATATGTATGTATGTATGTATGTATGTATGTATGTATACTATGTAACGGTACGATGACCTTGAACGACTCGAACGGTATCATCGCACGTTACGATACAATAACAAACGATTGAGAAAAAAAATGTTGCGTAAAAATTGACAAACTTACGTATGGCCGTAGTGATTATATTCTGTCGTTTGTACACTTTATGCACATGTATATATATATATATATATATATATATATGTATATCAGAGTTGATACGTAGGAGATAAAGGCAAGGTTAAAAATTCGAATCATCGTTTGACGATGAGCTCCTATCAATTTACGACTTTACGTGTATAATTTCTCATTATAATTTTCTTTTTCATGTTATTTCATTTTTTTTTTTTTTTTTTTTTTTTTATTATTATTTCTATTTACTTTTCAGTACGAAGTCTCTCGAGAAGTTTTTTTTATTTTATTTCCTTTTCTCTAGGTTACATTTAGAGATTTCACAAAACTTTTTTGATTCTCTTTCTTTATTTTTTTTTTGTTTTTTTTTGTTTTCTTTTTCCTTTTCTTTCGTCGATCCTAAAACTCATGCGAAATATTATTTTTCATTCAATTTTTAACGATGATTTCTTTTTTTTTTCCTTTCTTTTTTTATCACCTTCATTATTTTCCGTGCATATATATATATATATATATATATATATATATATACACATATTTATTTACAGCAAATTACACATTATTTATTTATAGTGAATACGAGTGTTCGATTTTTCAATTCATTGCAAAACATTCGTGCGACGTATCGCATAAACGAATTGAATTATCATTGACACGTGGATGTTATTGAATATTCATTGAAATACAACGTCGATAAGGGAGATAAATGAAATGAATTGAATCAAATGCGGATGAATATACCGCATGATCCATATCTTTTGTACTTTTCTATTTCGTTATATCATTTTCGTTTTGCGAATAGAAATACAATATTGCATTGTAATTCGAAATTAATTTTTTTTTTTTTTTTTTTTATTGGGCTTTAGTTAATTATTCGATCATTCGAATTAATTATTCGTAGTTGAAACGTAAATAAAAACAATTATCGTGTATTTATATTAAATAAATACACGTAATTACATATGTCACATATTTACATATATCTATATATATATATATATGGAATGAAATAGAAAAAGGCAGTCATGTATAAGTTGACAATCACTTTTAATTGTTGCAATAGAAAAACAATGTACAGACGCAGAATTATCGTATCTAACATGTGACGAAAATTCCTAGGTAAAATCTTAATCGGATAGTGAAAAATCAACTAAAATACGTCAAAATAATACATATTAAAGGAGTTGTTCTTATCTTGTTTTCATTACCTATTCGCTTATCGGTTAGTCATTTATCTAATTACAATGATTGATTTATTAATTATAATTATGTCTGTAATAGACACACAGGTGTGTATGTAAGTTAATTGTAGGGAGGGGATGGTTTGTGAGAGGGTAGGCAGGGTTCTCGGGGACGGGGACGGGGACGGAGGGGTGGTGTGGGGAGATTTCTTCTTAAATGCTACACAATGTTCATTTTTATTTATTTATCTTTTTTTTTCTTTCTTTCTTTCTTTCTTTCTTTCTTTCTTTCCTTTTTACTTTGGTTTTAAATTAAGGACTAGTGTTTTGAGCTTCGCTCTGTCCTTATGTATACATATGTATGTGTATATATATATATATTTATATATATATATATATATATATATATATATATATATATATACGATTATGGGGATTTTTATCAAACTTAATCGCGATCTCTCATTAAAATCATCGCATGCTTTTTTCGTCCTTTCATTTTATTCCCTTTTCTTCTTTCCTCCCGCTTCTTTTCTCTTTCTTTCTCTTCTTCTTCTTCTTCTTCTTTTTTTTTTCTTTTTTTTTTACAGATTATACGAACGTTTTAGCGAATGATTTCAACGGAATGAACGTTTGTTTTTTTTTTTTTTTCCTTTCACTTACGGGTTTACGCTTCGCTTACGGACTTGAATTAGATTAAATTAAAACAAAAAAAAAAAAATAAAAAAATAAAAAAAAAAAAGAAAAAGAAAGAAAAAAAAGGAAAAGGAAAGACAAATTAAAAGAGAAAAGAATTAAGAAAAGAGAAAACTAACAACGTCTTGGATCTCGAT